GGCGGCGCGCGGCCGGGGCTGCCGTCTCTTAAAGAAGCCAGCTTCCTCGTCTCAACCCAAACTCAAGTACGGTCAAACCTCGTCTCTCCGTCCCCCATCTCCAACAACAGGGTTCTAAGTTGTTCCCCGCCACCATCCCCCCAAAAAAGAGAGAAAAAAATGTCTCGGTGGTTGACCAAAACTTCAGTTTTCGACCTCACCATCCTTTCACGCTGGCACCTCAGCATGACAAAAAGCATTTTGCAGGCAATGCTTTTGTTGCTGTCGATTAGCACAATTTTAAAACAAAGGGGCCATCAAGAGTTGCTAAGAGTGTGCAAGTGCTCACAAAACAGTCATCACAGGCAATTGAACGTAGGTTTTAAAAAAAACACCAAAAACCCCTGTTGTTGATTTGATAAGAAAAAGCAGCTGGTGATAGCATTTCGGAGGCATGATATATGAAAAATTCACTAGTAGGGGGGTCAATAAATTTAAGAAAATAAGTATTTATAGATTAAACAGTGCATTATACGTGTATGGTATACAAGAAAAGTTGAAACGGAATCATTTGGGGGCCTGGAACTGATTAATTCAATTTACATTATTTCTAATGGGGGGAGGGGGGAAGGATTCGGTTTTCGAACAAATCGCTTCTCCAATAGCCTTCTGGAACGAATTAAGTCCACTGTACCTTAAAGATGCGATGGGATCTGATGAATATTTTTCCCTTGAATCCTGGTGATTTTGATGCTCCTGGTGCCAGGACCTCGCTTTGAAAATACCAGCACTTTTGCTGAGGAAACACTATCTTGCCTCGCAAGGTGAGTCTGAAAAGGATTCAGACTCACTTAGATGCCCTCAGAAATAGGGAAAGTCTGGCTGGTGTGGCTCAGTGCTTGAGCCTTGGCCTACAAACCACGAGGTCACTGGTTCCATTCCCAGTCAGGGCACATGCCCAGGTTGCAGGCTCGATCCCTAGTAGGGGGCCTGCAGGAGGCAGCCAATCAATGATTCTCATTGATGTTTCTATCTCTCTCTCCATTCCTCTCTGAAATCAATAAAAATATTTTTTTTAAAAGAAATAGAGAGGGAAAGAAATTGAAATCAATGTTCACCCTTTACCTCAAGTCCCCTCGTTCCTTGTAACCTCACCACTAGGATAGTATGCCCTATGGCTACTGCATTATCTTCTTCTTCCTAGGAAGGGAGCCATTTTGATTTCCCCCTCCCACCCCACCCCCGAAAGCTGATAACTTTCAGCTGGTTTACATTTCACCAGCCCATCTGCCCACCGGTTAATTAAAATACTAATGATGACCTTAAGGAACCTAAAGATTGGGTGGAAAGTGGACCAAGTAATTTGTGTATCACAAAAAACATCAGATTTTAGTGCACGGTATTTCTTGTAGACAGCCATTTTATTTTTTCTTCAATTAGCAATAATCGTGCCTCCAATACACCTTATTGGCTATGATAATGCCACTGCACAAAGCTAGATACAGCCATATTAATTTTATTTTCTGTTCTCTGGGTTGCCATGAGCCAAAACAATTGTCTCCCAACAAATTACTCCCTTTGGACAGCATAGTTTTAGAGCTGATACATTCATATTATAAAATTAAGGTCCTTTTCTTTCAATCCGAAACTGCTCCCTTCGTTGGTTACTTGGGTCTTCTCCTGTTCTTCACTGTAGACTTGCCCAATTTTATTTCTCCTCACAGCCAGCCCAATTATAAAACCCAGGTGAAATAATCCTATTAACAACGCCTGCAAAGCTGTCACCAGTCCTTGACTCAAAAATTACTGGTAAAATCAAACTTTTCATAGAGTCTGATCTATTATACCATGCTATTTCTGAACTTCAAGACTTTGTTCATGCTGTCCCTTCTCTCCCCACCACAGCAGTTGTAAAATCCGTTCTACGATGAAATGTGTTCTGACTTACAATTAGCCAATGTGTTTTACACAACCCGGCTAGTAAACTGCAATTATTTCTGTTATAGTTCTATATGCCTTTGAAGACTTTCTGAATAAAACTCAAGCTCCTTTTTTAATTTTTAATATTTTTATTTATGTATTTGTTTGTTTATTTATTTATTATTTTAAAATCCAAGCTTCTTGAGAACATGAAGCATTTAACATTATTCCATATTCCTTACAGAGCGCTAAGCATGGTAAACGCAGCCAATACTTAATACTTATGGACGTCTATACAAACACTTTCCAACCAGGAATGTTTTCATAGGCAGTCTCCAAAAACTTAAACTGGAAAACCTAAAAGTCGAGTGCTCAGATTTCAGGCATCAGGTGCTTTTTAGCAGGATTTCTATCCCAATTAAACGCTAATTCTGAGCTCCCAGCAGTCCGGACAAACTGCCCTTCACTGTCTCCAAAGTTTCTCATTTGTCACTAACCCATTTTCCTCCGCTTCAAACCCAGGTAACAAACGAAACCTTTCATTCTGATCTTCCTCGCCGCCAGGGAACAGCAAACCTCCAAGGGAACAATTTCCTGCGATAAGTCACATCCAAGTACTGGGAGGATGAGGACTACAGGCTGACTCTGCACATGCGCAGGAACAGGCTCCGGTTCCAGCCGCAGGCGCAGGCGTCCTCCACAATCCCACAATCCTCTGGTCGCACACTTCCGGCTTTTCTAGCCCCGCCTTACGTGGTGTTTCCGTCAGTCGCGCTGCAACGTCCAGGGCCTGTAGTTGGAGAGGATTTTCCTGTCTTGCCGTTGGTAGCTGTTTACTACTTGGAATCAGGGAAGTGCCCGGAGTCCTGCCGCTGCCATGAACATGTCGGTCCCCAGCGCACTCATGAAACAGCCGCCCATTCAGTCCACGGCCGGGGCCGTCCCGGTCCGCAATGAGAAAGGTACTGTGCTGGGCCGTTCCCATCGGAGCTGCCCCTTCCTTCCCCTGCGCCCTCCACACCCCGCAGACCCTGAATACCTGCCCCCCCCTATTTCTCCGACTTTCCCCCATCAAACTTGTACCCCGTCGCGTTGCCTAGGGGTGAAGACTTCCATCTTCTTGTTTCTCTATGTCGACTGCCCTTACTTGCGACAAGCACCCCTCTTTCCTTGGTCTCCACCAATTTCTTAGATTAATACAAAGTGCATGCCTGCTGTTTTCAAGGCATTGTGCGGGATATACTCCCTCTTTCGCTATCCATAACACTCTACAGTGCTTTTATAACTCATCATGATGATTTATGTGTCTGTTTCCCACTCCTGCATCATAAACTCGGCATCTCCTTGAGGCAGGAGCCATGTCTTATTAAGCTCTTTAAACTTTACACCAACGCAATGACCGTATTTATTAAATTGAATACAAAGTTGTAGCCCTGGCCGGGTAGCTCAGTTGGTTAGATGCGCCATGGTTGCGGGTTCGATCCCGGTTAGGGCACATGTAAGTGGAACAACAAAGCAATGTCTAGCTCTGTCTCTGTCTCTCTCTCTCTCTGATTTTCTCTGTCTCTCTCCCCAGCTCTTTCTCCCCCTCCCCCCCTCTCAAATCAATAAAGTTTTTTAAAATTTTTAATAAAATCAACCAATCAATAAAAATTAAAAATGAATACAAATTTGTGTAAGATAGTGCCCCTAACCTTAAGGAACTCATAGCCTAGTAGATTTGGGACATTCAAAAAAAAAAGGTCTTTGAGACCTGTAATACCTGTCACATAGGTGCTACCAAGCCCTGTGAGAGCAGAGAAGGAATCATTTCTTCAGATTGGGGTAATCAAAGAAAATGGCATTTCATTTGGCCATTGAAAGATGGGTAGGATTCTAATGAGTGCAGATGGCAGAAGGAACATGTTATCTATTTGGGGAGCCAGAATAGAATTTTTTCAATAAGGAATTTAGAAAAGAGTTATTTTGTATTTATTAAATATACTCTGCCTATCTGTGTGTAACTTGCCTTTTTTTTTTTTTTTAACTAAACATGGCTTTTGAGAAGTATCTTTTGGATACATATAGATCTAATCCATTCATTTTTAACCATTTATGAATTCCACTGTATACTTATACCAGTTTGTGTCCTACTGAGAGACCTTTGTGTTGTTGTTTTTTCTCCTATTATAAACAGTGCTGCAGTTGTCACTCTTAAACGTATCCCTGTGGGGCACCTGTGTAAGAATTCTCTAGGGTAGACTCCTACAAGTTCATCATCAACTTAACTGCCTATTACCACTTGTTCTGTTCTCCACAGTGGGTTGTAAGAGGATGAGGAGTTCATCCCCACACATTTGATTTTATCAGAGTTTTAAATTTTTGCTCAATCTAATGTGTGAAATATCTTATTTAATTTGCATTTCCCTGATTACTAGTGAGAGCAGACATCTTGTTCATACATTTTTCAGCTCTAGATTTTTTTTCTTCTATGAATTACCTCTTTCTGTCATTTACTCATTTTCTACTTGGTTTGTTTTTATACTTCTCAAATAGTATTTCCCCATGTTTTGTTTTGGTTTTTGGCTTGTCTTTTAACTTTAGTCTTCTGTTACACAGGTGTTTTTTAATTTTAGTGTTATCAGATTTATCAATTTTATCTTTTATGGTTTGTTCTGTTTTATATATTAAGAAATCCTTTTCTACCCTGAGATCATAGATATTAAAATTACAAAGATTTTCTATCATCTTTTTTTTAATAAGTTATTTTTGGTTTTAGAGAGAGGGGACAGGAGAGAGAGAGAGAGAGAAATACCAATGAGAGAGAAACATCAATCAGCTGCCTCCTGCACACCTTCTTCTGGGGATTGAGCCTTTAACCTGGGCATGTGCCCTGACTGGGAATCAGCTGGTGACCTCTTAGTTCATGGGTCGATGCTCAATCGCTGAGCCACCCTGGATGGGCAGATTTTCTGTCACCTTAGTGTTTGCATATTCTAAATAGGATTGAATACACAATTTTCCAATACAGACTCTAAGTTAAAGAGCCTACAGTCCAAGAGGGATGTATATATTTAAGATAGGTTTTTCACACTTAGATCTTTAATCCATCCGGAATATTTTGTGTGTGGGTGTCAGAGATCTAATTTTACTGTTTATCTGACAACCAGTAGTCCCTACTAGTCCATTGTGTGACTACCCAATCCAATATTGTTTTTAAATTCTCACCTGAAGATATGCTTTCATTGATTATTTTGGGGGGTGGCGGGGGTGGGGAGGGAGAGTGAGAGGGAGAGAGAGAGATATCAATGTAAGAGAGAAACATCAACCAGGGACTGAAGCCAAAACCCAGATATGTGCCCTGACTGGGAATTGAACTCATTACCCTTCAATGCAGAGGACAACACCAACTGAACCACACGGGCCAGGGTTCCCTTGCATTTTAATGGCACATCTATAATATACCAAGTTCTCATACAAGTTTCTCTACCCTCTTCTCTGTTCCATTGGTCTCTATGTACCTCCTAAGTTAATGACATATTTTTTGGTGTGATTTTTGTTTTAATTATATTTCTTATTGATTTCAGAGAGGAAGAGAGAGGGAGAGAGAGATAGAAACATCAATGATGAGAGAGAATCATTGATCAGCTGCCTCCTGCACACCCGACACTGGGGATCGAGCCTGTGACCTGGGCTTGTGCCCTGATCGGGAATCGAACCCTGACCTCCTGGTTCATAGGTCGATTTTCAACCATCGAGCCACACCAGCGAGGCTGACATATTGTTTTAATTACTACAAATTTGAATGTGCCTTGCAATCTATATAAAAACCTTTCCCACCCCCACCTTACTTTCTTTTTTAAAAAAATTTTTTTATTGATTTCAGAGAGGAAGGAAGAGGGAGAGAGAGATAGAAACATCAATGATGAGAGAGAAATATTGATTGGCTGCCTCCTGTACACCCCCTTCTGGGGATGGCATATGCCCTGACCAGGAATTATACTGTGACCTCTTGGTTCATAGGTCGATGCTCAACTACTGAGCCATGCCAGCTGGGCTATTCTTCCATTTTTAGTTAAGACTTTATTTTTGAGCAATTTTATGTTCACAGCAAAATTGAGAGAAAGATACAGAGTTTCCTTATACCGCCTTCCCCAATACATGCATAGCCTCTCTCACCAGAATAATACATTTATTACAATTGATGAACTTAAACTGATATGTCATAATCACACAAAGTCCATAATTTACATTAAGATTCACTCTTGCCCTATCTGGTTTGACTCAGTGGATAGAGCATCAGCCTACAGGACTGGAAGGTCCCAGGGTCGATTCCGGTCAAGGGCACATGCCCAGGTTGCGGGTTCAATCCCCAGTAGGGGGTGTGCAGGAGGCAGCCAATCAGCGATTCTCTCTCATCATTGATGTTTCTATCTCTTCCTCTCTGAAATCAATAAAAATTTTTTTTTTAAAAAAAGATTCACTCTTGGTGTTGTACATGCCATGGGTTTGGACAAATGTATAATGACATAGCCATTGCTGTGGTGTTATACACAGTATTTTCACTGCCCAAAAAAATCCTCTGTGTTCTGCCTATTCATCCCTCCTCCACACTCAACCCCTGATCTTTTTACAGTCTTCATAATTTTGCCTTTTCCAGAATGTTACATATTTGGAATCTTATAGTATACTAGAGGCCCAGTGCATGAAATTCATGCACGGATAGGGTCCCTAGGCCTGGCTGGCAATCAGGGCCAATCGGGACCTTCTGGCTGTTGGCAAGGGCCTTCCTTCATTCTGCACCACCCCGCTGGTGGTCAGCACACGTCATAGCGAGCAATCGAATTCCCGGCCTCTGATTGAACTCCTGAGGAGACACTTTGCATATTAGCCTTTTATATATATAGGTAACCTTTTCAGATTGGCTTTTTCCACTTAGTAATATGCATTTAAGTTTCTTCCATGTCTTTTCATTGTTTGATAGCTCTTTTTAAGTGCTAAATAATATTCCATTGTCTGGATGTACCATAGTTTATCCTTTCACCTAGAAAAGGACATCTTGGTTGCTTCCAAGTTTTAGCCCTTTTGAACAAAGTTGCAATAAATGTCAGTGTGTAGGTTTTTGTGTGGACATAATTTTCAACTTGGGTAAATACCAAGGAATGCAATTACTGGATTTTATGGTAAATGTATGCCTAGTTTTATAAGAAACTAACAAAGTAGCATTTTGCATTCCCACCAGCAATGAGTGAGAGTTCCTGTTGTTTCACATCCTTGCCAGTTAGTTAATGTTGTCAGAGCTCTGGATTTTGGCCATTCTAATAAGTGTATAATAGTATCTTATACACTGTGGAGCATCTTTTTATATGCTTATTTGCCATCTTCTTGGTGAGGCATCCGTTAAGGTCTTTGGCCTCACCTTGTTCTTCAGAATTGTCTTGACTCCTATTCTTGCACATAATTTTAGAATCTGCCTGGGGAACAACTTTTAATGGAATTGCATTACAATTTTATAGCTTTGTTGCTATTATAAATGGTACTGTTTTTTATTGATTTGAGAGAGAAAGGTGGGGAGAGAGGGAGAAAAACATCGATTTGTTGTTCCACTTACTTATACATTCATGTTGATTCTTGTACGTGCCCTGACCGGAGCTCAGGACCTACAACCTTAGTATATCAGGACAATGCTCTAACCAACTGAGCCTACCCAGCAAGATCATAAATGGTACTTAATTTTTTTTTTTTAATCCTCACCCAAGGAGATTTTTTAAATTGATTTGAGAGACGGGGGGAGAGGTCAGTGTGAGACACATTGATCAGTTGCCTCCTCTACAGGCCCAGAAGAAGGATCAAACCCCCAACCTTTTGGTGTACAGGATGACGTTCCAACAAACTACTTCACCCAGTCAGGGCATAAAAGCTATTTTTAAACTGTCTTTTCTAATTACATATAGTTAATGTATAAGTACACTTATTTTTATCCAGCATTCTTCCTGAATTATTTTTTAGTTTGATTGTCTTGTTTTTTTCTATGTAGATGATCATATAATCTGCAAATTTTAGCAGTTCTTTCTTTTCAGTCCCTACCTTTTATCTCTTTTTCTTATTGCCCTGATTAAGGTCATAATAAAACATTAAATGGAAAGGGTGTTTTTTTTCTTAAATTTTTAAATATATATTTTTTATTTCAGAATGGAAGGGAGAGGGGGAGAGAGAGAGAGAAATATCAGTGATGAGAGAGAATCATTGATCAGCTGCCTCCTGCACATCCTACACTGGAGATCGAGCCCACAACCCAGGCATGTACCCTGACAGGGAATTGAACTGTGACCTCCTGGTGGTCCTAGATCAGTGCTCAACACTGAGCCATGCCGACCAGTCTAGAAGGAGTGATATTGACAATGTAGGAATGCCCACTGTTTTTTAAAAGAATGCTTCAATGTTTTATTTTATTAAGTATAATGTTTGCTGTATCTATTGTTAAGATTATGACTCTTTAAATACTTAAACTTTAGCCCTGGCCAGTCGTCTTAGTGGTTAGAGCATCAGCCATGCACCAAAGGGTTTCGGGTTTGAGTCCCAATCAAAGGCAGGTACCTGGGTTGTCGGTTCATTCCCCAACCCCAGGGAGGCAACCAGTGGATGTGTTTCTCTCTCATCAATGTTTCTCTCTCTCTCTCTCTCTCTCTATCTTTATCCCCCCCTTCCCTCCCTTCCTTTCACTATCTCTGAAAAGTAATGGAAAAAATATCCTCAGATGAGGATTATCAAAAAGTAATAGGAAATTATATATTAAAATTAAATATATAAACTTTAAATTGTACAGTACTTTTCCCCTACTAATTTTCTAAGGTTAAGTCATCCTTGTAGTCCTAGGCTGAATCCTTTTAGGTCACGAAGGCTTAGATATTGTTTTGTTGCTTTTTACAAAAATTGCTGGAATACATTTGCTATTATATTATTTAGTATTTTAGTATCTATGATCATAAATGAATCCTTTTTGAACTGTCCAGTTTGGCTGCCAAGGTTATTTTCATCTTATAAACTATGTT